CTTGGGCATTCATTTTTATGTCAAATACATTCTATTTAGTACATAACCATGTCCCCCATATTGAAAATTTACTAAATAATGTAATTTCAAATAGCCCGGTTCACGTCCGTTCTCCATTTCAATTGGTTTACTGCCTTTCGACGCTTATTGGCTGGCGGGGGTCAAATATGGCTGCCTCTTTCTCATTCGTTGTTTCTGTTGGGGTGGGAGATTCGAATCTCTCCCCTCCACGACAATAAGGGCTTTCCGTTTTTACATTGTGTGCCATCTCTGATATGTACTCTCTGCTATCTAATAAGTAAACGGAAAAACAAAAGACTTCTTGGATCATCAAAATGTAATATGATATGAACGTCGGTAAGAGAGCTGATTGTCACAAAAGTAAGGACCCTCATGTTTTAAAGAATTTCATAAGATTGTTGATGATCATTTGTTATTAATATTATTTTAATATTATTAATGAACCTTGCCCTGAACGGGAATTTCCTTTGAAAAGATTGGAGCCGTTTTTAAAAAACTGGCGTGTAAGCGCTTCTGTAAATTCGGAATTTGAATTTTCTTTTTCTGAAAATGTTTTGAGTTTACGAGAAACTTCATTTGATGTAATTTAAAGCACATTAACTCACAACTATAACAATAATTACTATTATATACTAAATTGATGGACACTTGTATATAATAGTCCTTCGTCCGTCGCTCTCCTATGCGTGTGCAGTGTGGGGAGGCGCCGCAAACACGCATATTAAGAAATTGGAAATAGTTCAAAACAAATTTCTAAGACTGGTCACCAAAGCTCCCTGGTTTATTCCTGATGCACAAATCTAAACAGAATTAAACATTAGTTGCATTAAAGAGTACATAATTAAACTAGCGAAATTTTTTTTATGTAAGGCTTGAAGCTTGTTCTAGCAAAAGAACTTTCAACCTTGGCCGTACAGCTTATGCACCATCCAGAATATTGTCACGCTATCCAAAAGATCGCTTAATGCTTCCATAAATTGCTGTTACTAAGGTTATAAACAATATACGGGATTGTAATAATTGTATATACGTGTTATTAACAAGTGTGGTATTTTTTACTTAATGCATATTTTGGTATATTTTTGTATATATTTTTATATTGTTTAATTAGTAGGTATATTTTTGAATTTTTGTATTAAGGTAAATAGAAACTGTATATAGATTGTAATATAAGCTCAAGTAAGTATACTTGTGCCCTCTTGTAAATGGAAGACACTGTTAAATCATGTAATGTGTGTATTGTAACTAATAACTCCCGAAAGGCCGAAGGGCCAAACGGGCAAGAAATAAAATTTAAAAAATTAAACAACACAAAAAAATTAACAAACACATTTTGTGTGTGCCCACATTAGCCTCATGTGTTGTTCACATTATATCCTAGACCAACCTATCCTAGACTAGACTAAACCAATGCATTTTAAATGTATTTAAAATATATTTTGAAGGAAAATATTAAAACTGCTTTTATAGAAAATTAAAGATGAAATACTATAAAGAAGTTAACTTATAGCATTCTGAATTGAAAATGACCACTCTATCTCCCCTCTCCTACTAATATTTTCAAGTTCATGTAGTAACCTTCACTCGAAATTTCCATTTACGTGCAAACACATTCCGATAAGATAGCAGACGTACTACCGCGCTTCTATACGAATAGTGCACCTGTGCTTCCACTTGAATAAGGTGGCTGATGTGTTGTGCATATCTTCTAAAACAGATAACATTGTTAAGGTAACAAATAACGTTTCTCCACAATCTAACATTACCTACTACGTGACACAGATAACACGAAACTGCAATTTGCATATTCATAAGATACTTTGGTAACTCTGGTAACTAGAGGGGAGCAATAGGTACCTCTCAAATGATATCGATGACCATTGAAACCTTCGAAATATTTACAACAGTATCTGTGACTTTTGAGATCATTCCTATGGCGATGCGTTTTTCCAACGCTAAGGATGACAAGGTCTGAATGTGAAAGAAATGATCATTCGCGGAGTGTAGCACGTCGTTTAAGGAACTCCTGAAGTATTAACTTGATGATAATCCAAGGGTGTTGTGGAAACGACCGAACTCGGAGTAGTCAGTTTTCTAAAATTATCTACAGACATCCAGTTCTGCGATCTATCTCAGATCCAAAATTCGTCATTTTTGGTACTCAAGTCTAGGACCATCATATTTTACCTAGCTCGAAGTTGTGGTCACGCAACTATAGACGAATCATGTGTTTGGCTTACTCAAAGATGTTTTAAGTTAATCGTGTAGGTTGAAGTAAGAGCTTTGTCGTCAACGTGGACTCGCGCAGAGAAGCGTCAAGTACGCCCTAAAAGTATAAGGTTATATAAGACTCCATTTCGCTCGTGAATTATTATACTGAATAACTCATCTTAGTTTTTCATGACATTATCGAAGTGATTAATATTTTAAGAGAATTATTATTTCAACTACACTGCACTAGCTATTATGAATAATGGACAAAGTGATTAGTTAATCTTATTGAGTATCTGATAAGGTTAGTTACTGGCCTGTAAACCCCCAGTGAGCAGGTTCTACCTCGGCTAAGGCGCGAGAATTTTGGAAGGGCAAACAATCCATCAGAGGGAGGCCATGTCTTACTAGTGGCATGTAAAAGAATCTGGAAAAGTGCTTGGCAAAATTGTCCAAGGCAATTTTACGTCCTAACGAGATTCCACGTTCCCCCAGACAGCGAGTTCGAATACAGTTGAAGGAGACGTACATGTGGCAGACCCAAGTGCGTAAGGGGACGCCTGTGGAGCACACCTGCTCGAATGTTCCCTAGATCCGCAGTGGAGCTAGGTTTCAAAGGACGCCTGAGTAGTATATAAGGGTGTGAAACTGCGACCAATGGCGATGTCTGTGGATAATAACCCTCACCATAAATAAAATAAATACATAATGCTGATTAAGCCCTATGGCCGTAACATAGTGTGCATGTGTATTCATGTGTGTGTTTAATTTTATGTTAAAGAATTTCCATTTCATCTTCACTACTAATTCAATTATACAATTTTTAATATTAAACATATCAGTGCGAGAATTCACTTATTAAACTAGTAGTACTAGCTAATACATTAAAGATCATTATTAGAGATAGAGAGACGCACTACATTTCATTCAAAGGATTTGGTTGCGTAAGAAGCTCATATTGATTTCTAAACGAAAACCTTTAGTATTAATAGCAGAAGTAATGAGAATTCACGATCATATTTACAACTTAAATAATACAGATCCATGTCCATGCATCGGCGTGTGACACATAATGACTAAAGTACTACGTTCTTATCTAAGAGAACAACTTATGTATCTCTTAAACATCATCCGAGGTTAAATTCATTTCGCCTCACTCCTGGCCACAGATAACGATCAGAAGGTATAACAAGACCATTCTTTTCGAGGAGCACATTATTTTAGAAAATTAAGCTTTTATTTCTTAGAGATATTTGGAAAAGAATGACATTTCTGAGGTCTCCAAAACAAGAATTTGGAAGTGTATGAATTATTGAGTATAACATCATAGGATGCTTAACAGTAATTTGACATTAAAAAGTTAACATATAATTTTAAAATTATTTTTCTATTACAAGAGAATAATTTAGAGAGAGATTACACAAATTTTACTCTTAAGTTCATGTATAAATCAAAAGTCTCTGAGTTTTTAAAATATAAAGCACATTATACGCACGTTGCCTGCTTTATTGTTGTATCAAACAGAATTTCGTAAAATCTTATGATTCTTTGTATTCTTTTATTATGAAACATGATACTTTTGTATCTACAGAGAATGTACTAAAAATACCAGTTAACAATGAATATTATATAATTTAATAATGAATCTTAATTGCATTCTGAAATATAAAAATCATAATAAATAATTTATTGCTCATATCTTTTTCAATTCAATTACCTTGTTTTTGGGCATCATTTTTTTGAGATTTCACGGGAACAAAATATGAAAATGGGTCCTTCTGTCATAACTAGCATAATGACATCGAAAGAAGTGTAAGGAGAGGTGACTGCAAAAGTATTTTGGTCGAATTAATTTAAGTAATTGGCTTAATATAAGATGAACAAAAAGGCCGATTTTATCTGATAAAAATGTAAAAAAGACAACTTCGAATTTTCATAAAAGAACGCGAAAATAACATCTAGTAATAAATGGACTTCTTCAATCTTTAAATGAGTTCTTGATGTTTGGCAATTAGCCTTCCACATAATGCACATTTTCCAGATTATTTCAATAAATAATTAAAAGTTCCCAATTAATTAATTTTAGAAAGTAAATTGGAACACTTAAGTCAACTCCCGGAGTTCATGATCGGTTTTGTTATTATCATGTATACATTCCAAAAGTACGTGTGGATTTCAAAGAAAAGTACACATACTTTATTGCCTCGGGAGTGAAAATATTGTGTACGCTGTGATTAGTTATATTATTTTTATTTTAACAACGATTTATTGGTCAAGAATCTGTGACAGATGAGAATAGAAAGGAAGAATACAACAAATCAGATAATTTGAGGAAAGTGAAATTCGGTATATTTGGAAGAAACTTGAATATAATAAAAATAGGAGAATTAGACATTCAATAAATATACTGCAAACACTATTACTTTAATATACAAAAAAAAGTACATAAACACGTAACACAAACATTCGAGTTTTAAGATCAATTTGTATCAGTCTCAATACAGTGCAAAGTTTGAAAAATCAAAATATGTCTTAATATTAGCATTCTACCACTGTAGTGGCTGGACCATCAAACATCATGACAATCACCAGTACAAACGTCTACCAAACATTTGCCCAAAAAGTACCCAAAGTTTGCTTGTGGATTTTCTTGTCCTATACTTCAAAAGACAATCGTTAGTGGTGTTTTTGGATAAACAATTTCTATATATTCAAACTTCTGAAGGAATCCAGTAATGACCAAAGTGTGCTAGGAAAGAGATGAACGTTTAGCCTTTGGCGTAAGGGGATGATTTGTTCGTGTCGAGCCAGTAGGAACCAGATGCGCTGCAAGAAGAAGACAGTTTTATGAGGATGTATGCACATATTACGTTTACCAATATACTAATCAAAAACCGAAATGCAATCAAATATTTTAATATAAATAACAAATCCCACATTATACTATTGTAATATAATTGTATTAGTGCTGATGTACAATATGTGAAACTCAATTAGGTTGAAATCTTGTAATAACGTATTGTAAAGTTGTTTGTGTTTATTAATTAGTTTACGCTTTATCACGAAAGAAACATACCTTTTTAAAATTAATTTCTAAAGCTACGTAGGTGAAAATAGGTTTAATCGCATTTTAAAATTACAAATATGTAATAATATACGGAATTTTATGAAATATTACGAAGCATACCTTGTCGGCGTCCATTCTCCCATGATGGCAGTCGGGTTTGATGAACACGAGCCTGAACTGTACTGTTTGTAAGTTGAGCACTGAGTTCCAACAAAGTTTTTGGAAGTGATGGATTCGGCGTAGTATTGATGTGAACGACTGTGGCTGCAAGAACCTAAAATGTTGCCGTAAATTAATTAATAGTATTAAATATTAAATAAATTATAAACTATAAGTTCCATAAGAAAGTTGATTTTCTGCTATTGTATATTCATCTCTTCACAGTTTTCGTGAAAAATGTTAATTTTCTCCATTTGGAACATACCTCCTACATCCAGCCCACATCCAGTCTGAGATGATCCACCGTTGGGGAAGAAATCAGCATCAGCAAGTGGATCTTCCCAACCCAGAAGACCCCCATTGGTGTGAATTGCTTCAACAAACTGGGCGTCAGTGGCATCCAGGCGGTTAGGGAGGGACGTCGAACCAAAGAGGGGTGCAGCAGCATCCAGACCTTCAAACAGATGCATTTTACCGGTTACGAGATTAACATCATAAAATCATGCGTTCTAAAAATTTTAATAGACAGAAAAATTATGATCAAATCCAAACATCTGTTTTTTGTATGATCAGAAGGTGCAATTGGAAGTTTTGTTTTCTATACTCAACAGCATTTAATCGTCAACGTTGAGGATACATGGATGTTGACAAGCTCGTGCTCATTATAAAGTTGTAGATATGGTTTAATTTAAATGGCATGTATTTCCAAATGTACTTACCGACGACTCGGGCAAGTTTTGAGTTAAGATTATATCCAGCAACACCAGCTGCATGGGCTCCCAAACTGTGACCAATAATGTACAGAGTGTTGAGATTTAATCCTTTCAAACTTATCAGGTTGTTTACAACTTCGGCAACATATTTGCCTACTTCAAGAGCACTAGATCTTGCTGAACTATAAATTGCAGAGGCTTTGCCAGACCAGTCCACCAAGATGACATTGTAACCACTGCCAGTTGCAATATAAGCTGAAATAAAATGTTTAAAAATGAGTACGCTCCGCTGAATATATTTCAAATTAATGTGACAAAATAATTGAGTTCTCTCTTCACCTTGTCTGATGTGGTCCATGTGTGATGCCGCAGAATTCCATCCATGGATTACAAAGCGAGTGGGCTTGCTAGCATCGAAGTTGGAAGGCACGTTATTCAATTGAATAATTTGGGCAGAAGTTGGATTTTTCCTGTAATGAAACACATTAACAATATTAAAAGAAATCGTTTAAAAATAATCATTGAAATGTAAATAACGTTATTAAATGAATTACAATATATAGACAATATTACAGTAGCAAAAATAAAATATGTAGACCTATTGGTCATAATATAACTTTAAATATTTTATCCTCACATTAATTTGAATTAATTGTTAAAGGAAGATATTTGAAGAAAATAATCATATTTTATTACGATTCCTAATTTGCATGCCATGGAGAACATTTTTGTTACAAATTTAAGAAGAAACCGCGAAGATTAAACAATAGCAAATAAAAATTAAGATTCCTAAAATTTTTAATAATTTTTATAAGTCCTCATTCTTCTCTTCAAATTAAGATCAATACCGTGCCAGAATGCAGTGGGAGTAACTCACTCAGAGCAGTGATAACAAATATTTGCTTTTAAATTCCAGATTTCATCATATACTGATTCCATGATATTTACTGAATAGTATATAAAACGGTGTGCAGTAAAATTGCACTTAACATTTGCATTATTGAATACATTTTTATTTTAAAGTGGAAACAAAAGACGACATTTATATAGTGCTCAAATAATACATTTGCGCATGTAGCAAACACTTAATTGAACATTCGTAAAATAATATATCAGAGTAATTTAAATTAAACATATTAATTACCATTTTTTAAGTTAAAATTTCATTCTTAAAATTACTCTATTAAACGGTACACGTCGTACTTTGGAATTAATCGATGCTTTTTAAAAATTTTTTCCAAAATTTTATTGTAACTTGTAATAATATTATTCGAATTTTTTTTCACAATCACTAAAAAAATATTATTTTCGAAAATGTGCTTAAAAACGCCCTCCCCAGGGAATACCCCTTTCCACAGCAAATGCAGCGGTGTCAAGGGCACGTCATAGATGAGGCTACTTACTGCGTGTAGAGATTGAGAGTGACGTCTTTGGCTCCGTCGAGCCGTTGAGTAGGTTCCTCCTGCGTGAGGTCCACCAAGTGCAGGAGGCCGTTGCCGTCGGGCATCCACATGTAGCGCTGTTGAGCTGGCAGCGCGCATGCTGAAAGCGATCGAGAATCAAGGTCTCAACTAACGTAAAAATAGTATTTCGCAAATGATTTCAACATTTTAGAACAGATTTTTATTGTAACGATTTTATTCCATTTTAATGCTACATATTGTTTTGGAAAAATAATAAAATGACGTAGTACACAGAATGTTAGAATAAATGTTTTAAACGACTAAGGGTTGTAGGGGGTCTGGGTGCTAACTCTTTGCTAAGCAAAATGTGATGGTAAGGCTCAATAACGAAATTTTACCTGCGACATTTACCCCTGATTGGTAGGTAATTCGCCTTCCACTAGTGTTCAACAAGTACTAGAAATCTCTTTGACTTCGTCAATTCTGTGCGTGTATCTGTCAAACCGCAATCCCCGGTGAAATGCCTACAGTTTAAAGGCGAATTCATATGTGTAACCTGTGATTTAACAAATGGTGCGGGACTATTGAAGCGACAGAGTAGAGCATTAGCTTAGTCAATCGCACGTCTAAGTACAAATCCGGACACCGGAGCACAAGCGTCATCACATGTAGCTTTTCCGTCCTTGCATTCATCGTGAAACCTGAAGACGACACGCATATCTTTTGTATCCTTGAAACCAAATTATTTATTTACATGAAAATAATCTTAAATGAAACACAGCAGGATAGCAAAATTGTTAGATGTAAAATATCAGTTCAACGAGTACTTGCGTATCATGAATAACTACATTTAAAATGTCCATTGTTGGACATCTATCAATATGACTTAATTTATGAAAAAATAATAGATGTCATCTCCGTCAACTGTTGACGTAATTACGTGAACAAATAAAAGATGTCATTTCTGTCAACTCAATATGTTTATTTAGAGAGCCGGCTTTCGACGACATTGTCATCATCATCAGTCTCGGTGTTTTAGCATAAGTCGGGAGACTGTCACCTGACTTTTGCCACAACATCTAGACTGATGATGACGGCAAAGCCGTCGAAAGCCGGCTCTCTAAATAAACATATTGAGTTGACAGAAATGACATGTTTTATTTGTTCATGTAATTACGTCAACAATACTACACCAGAATTCCCAATTTCAGTTTGGCAAGAACTGTTAATTATCAGTAATTAGCTCATGTCACGCAGCTTTTCTTACCTGCCGCGGCAAGAAGAGCCACAAGAAAGACGGGAGACGCGACCATGGCTGCTGCGATACGGCCAGTGACGGTGAGGGTGGTGTGTGCCGAGTTTTTATAGGATGCCCCCCAGCACTGGCGCAAGGTTGGGAATTACAAAGGAGGTAGAAGGGGGCGACTAATAATACACCACGCCTCGTGATCTGATAAGTGACACGCCTCCCAATATTGAAATCAGAGTAATCAAGAACATTGTCATCGTGAATTTCTGACATATCTCCTCGATTGTATCACGAGAGGTGTCGATGGCCTATGGCGATAAAGCACGTTTAAGTGTTTCAAGTGTTCATTTACGTTAATCTTAGGAATATAAGTGGAAAGGTGCCTCGTGGACCTAAAGTGGGTACAGAGAAGTGGAAAATATTCTTACTTGAAAATATGTTTAGAGGTTTGGGTAAAAAATTACCGTGAAAGGTTTACTCTTGTGAAATAATTATCCATAGTGGATTATGCAATTAGTTTATAATGATTTGTATGAGTACAGGTTTTGAAAACGAGAGACGTTAGAAGCGAGTTGAACGCTATCTTTTTTAAATAACAACATTATACATTTGTACGAGAATCAAACTTAATTTTGCGGTACAACGTTCTCGTGACGTCTTGGGTATTTGACATTGTGAGGGAAAACGGTGGTCGGCTGTTTCGTTTTCCTTTACCTCTCCTCGAGTCTCTCGCTGCAATGGGCGGAAAGTGTGATGACGCAATCATTCGTGCCTTAAAATGCTAATACGTCATCATTTGTACTGTAAAATGCACTTATGAACGACAGAACGTTTATACTAAAATATCTATATTGATTCTAAGAGATACACATTTAGACTCTGTGAAAGATGAGGAGAGTGTATTAAACATAAAAATATGGTTTTGGATTTGTTATGAACAATCTCTCGAAAAGGAATAAAGCTTAACACCTTCTTAATTTCAATCATAATTTTTATAGCAAGTAGATTTGTGTAAAATATACTTACGTGGATTGCAAAACCTTTTATTGCTTCTTCAAAAAACGAAAACACAACTTTATCTAGTGACGTGCGTTTTTTAAGTGTCTACAAATACCTCGCCTGATACGTCAGGACTCTCACGTGAATGGTCACTTACCACTTTGCGACAAGAGGGTTTTATGACTACACCCATATTGAAACTTCTGTGACAAATGCAAAGGCTTTTAGATATTGTTGGGTTTACATTACGTCGTTTAAATACGTGTATTTAAATTATCAGAAAGGAATCATTTGTTCTTTTTGAAGTTAGATATGAAGCACGAAAAACGTAACATATTGTTTTGCCTCATGGTAAAAGGGATATTTACAATAGGCATAGTAAGCAGCATTTTGTATTGAGATAAGAAATAATAGGTCCAGTAGAAAACAATCCTACTAACAAAATGAAATGTCTTACCACGTTTTTCACACTCATTTTTTAGACTGCCTTACAGACTTTCATTTTGTTTTAATTAAAGAATAGAAATCATGAGACATTAAGATCAGTAATAGCTAAAGTGGTCGTTCGAAATTACTGTTGCACTTTCAAATTTATCTGAACAATTTATCTGCTTCAAGTTTTTCTGCTTTTGTAACTGACGTGACCCATCTCATAATATTTACTTTCTCGTATACGTAATATTAGAGAAATATACGTGGTATGAAGAAAGATATGTATTCTTTGGTGACATTGATTTCCAGATTGCAACCAAAATACACCTTTGATGTCCCCCTGATACTGCAAAAAATGTTATTTTTTAAACGTCCGTCTGCCCGTCTATGAACAACACTAACACAAAAACTATTCATAGGATTTTTTCCAAAAGTGTATATTCCCTGGACGATCTGCATCGAATCGAAGCTTCGTGATTTTGCAAAACATTCCTTAGATTTTGGGGGGTACCTTACATGAAGCTCTGGGGACATTTTCATAATTTTCTCAAAGATGACTGCAAATTGTTTCTTTAAAATTCTTGAAAGAATATAATAAAATACAATTATAAATATGGCATTCACTGTTAACTCTTAAATTTAGGAAATTGCGTCGTAAGTTTTTTCGACGCCTTCCTACAATTACAAAATTGAAGAAAGAGATGTTTCCTTCAAAAGTAAATTTGTTCTCCATAATAAGTTCTTTCATTAAGGCAGTATACATCTTTTGAAAATTTGAAGCTTTTGCGCAATATTGTGTGTAATATGTGCAATATTAAGAAATATAAAAACAAAGGTATTACAAAACCTGCTCCAAGGTTTTCCTTTATATATTTGGTGAGATTACTGCTTAATGTACTCCAGCAGGTGACATTGACCTCAATTTGCTCTATTTCTTTCTTTTCCCAAAATCACACAATTGTACATTTTTGACATCTTGTTTTTTTATTAAGGTCCTATCAACATCTAGGTCATTAGCGACTATTATTGGACCTAACGTTATGATAACTGTAACGATAACTTGATTTGAGGATGATAAGAGGGGCAGGGATGAAAAGGACGAACGCGAATGCAACCATGCCCGAGGCGGGACTCGAAAAAAATAGAAGTCGATGGCTTAGTAAAACACGTTTTAGATTCAAGAACAAAATCAGCACCCATAAAACCGGTTTTAAAATTAGTATAGGAGTGCCACAAACTTCCAAACACCACATGTTTGGCCTAATTCGTTGCCTTTTAGAAAATATAATAAATAGTATTTATTGTTATTTTTATCAACGTATTTTTGGCTGCGATTATACTCACGTTACCCTGTAGCAATTTTATGATCATCAAACATTAATTATTTGATTCAAACAGTGTGCCAAATTAGCCCGAATATGACCAATTTTACGTTAAAACCTTAGAAGTAGCACCTTTAGAATGGGACAATAACAGGCCAAAACGTACGCCAAACCAGTCTCATATATCACTACTAATATGCACAATTCTAGCTATTTGTATTCAGTATTGCATTTATGAGTAGTAGTGCTTCAAATAATTTCAAATAAAAGTAGGCGAAATTTCAAAAGTTTTCTGTGAAAAAGAACTTTAAATTTTCCATTAAGAATAACGCTTGAAAACATTTGTTTACAAAAAGCTCCAAATTTTAAATGAATATGTCCATGTAGTCTATGTTTTACTCTTCTATAATATTATTAAAGTCATATTGTGATTCTACTATTAAGAAACCTAAAACTGGGAAAATTAAAAAATAAATATAGTTTGCCGAGATCGCTAAGGCAGTAGTGCCGTTCGAGTCCCGCCTCGGGCATGGTTGTACGGTGTTCGTCCTTTCACCCCCAATCATCGTCATATCGTGTCATCCTCACAGTTACCACACCGTTACAAGCAATAGTAGCCGCTAACGACCTAGAAGTCGATGCGACCTTAAATTTAAAAAAAAATTAGTTTGACAGGCGATAGTTGGCAACCGGCAAGAGGGTTGGCAAAACCTACAAGCTATCCCAGACCAAAGAAATTAGAAATTAGTACGATAAAGTCTGTGTCATTCTGTAGCACCACTAGTTTTAAACGTTTGACGGCAGTCACATGCTTACCTTTGTACCAATGACAGAATAAAGTGCTGCTGCCCTAGGAGGCTCTAGAAAATGTGTCACTTACCATACGACCCTCCTCATACGGCATCTGAATGGACGACGACGGCATCTGAATGGCGGCGGATTTTATGAGACCCCATTATCCGATTTTATGAGACCCCATTATTGTGTTCAATGCCTACCCTTCTATAATAACACAGACCCCCCCCCCAAAAAAAACGTTGTGAGACCAAAAGATTTGACTCAAGTTTCTCTATGTATGTCGACGCGCTGAATCCGAGTCTCAAGCCAGAATTGCGCTACAACCCTCTCATTATTTTTAAATCGCGAAAAACATCGTGGCATTTTACGCCTTGTTTTCGGGGGTTGTTGTAAGACCCAAAGACTTGACACATATTTCCCTATGTATGTCGATGAGCTGAATACGAATATGAAGCCAGAATTACGCCACCACATTCCATTTTTTTAATCTCAAAGAGCCGTCGTGAAATTTAATTTTTGATTTCTTTGTAGGTTTCGGATGTTATTTGTAAACTTCACTGCGGATTTTTGCGTTACAAATGTGTTTGATGGAGGCTTGATTTGACGGGCGGGGTCTTTCGTATCCAGAATTACCCCACTCACAGGGTGCTGTGTCGAAGCTTTTTATAAATGTTACAAAACATTAAACTTTCCTTAGCGTATTATAGATGGAGTTTATCTAAGGTGACAAGAAAGATCTGTAGCGCTGTGATACACTCATACGTACCAGTAGGAAAAGTGAAAAATGTTTTAATTAATATTTAAACTGAGAAAATGAAGAACATAATAATCGACTCTGAATTATTTCGTTTTTTAGGTACCTTGTGGCCGGAATGGATGGAATTGGAGGTGCTTCTGTTGTGATGGACAAGGGAGACGACAAGCACGATGAAGGCAACCCTTCAACAGAAGTTCCGTACTCCCATGCAACACAGCTTTAATAATCTACAAACCCATCTTAAGACTCCTCCTTTTATTCGTTTGTACATCTCCATTAATGCTGCAAAACCTTATTATAACGAATAAAAAATGTTTCCAAGTCAGTGCCTAAGGATAGGGTCCCATGGTTTGTTACCAAACTACAAAGGACTATCCACCGAACCCAAAGCCAACCATATGAATTACCTTTTCTCAATTCTTTATTTTACCATACCACTAATATCCAAATTAATCCCCACAACCTCACCATAAATCCAATACAACCAACACAAATTCTGAAAAAATCGCTGAACGTTTCACTTAATAGATGTGTCTATTTAGCTTCTTCACCATTGTACTAGATTTAATCGTAGAATGTAAGTTAGTAGTAATGTACCAAACATATGTATCGAACGTTTTACTGATCTTTGTATTAATCAACAAAAAAGTAAATTTAAAAATAACACGATGAAGGCGCTGGGAGAGGTGTCTCAGGACATCAACTAATGAAACTGATCAGGAGGTCCTAGGTTCGAATCCCGACGGTACCTTTTCA